GTCTGTGGGTCAGGGAGGTGTCTGTGGGTCAGGGAGGGGTCTGTGGGTCAGGGTCGTCTGTGTTGTCTCCCTTTGTTGACTCACAACAAAGACTGACTGTATATTGTTGGTGTTATTGTTCATCAGTCTTGGCTGCTAATTSAAGTAAAATAATTAAAGAAAGTTTGCTGTAGTGAGGCAGCAAGTTTGTGTAGCATCTGCAGCACAAACACAAAGATGCAGCTTTGTCTTAGGTTAAGGGTGCAGCTATAATATTGTTCTCAAAATTTCAAGGTTTTTGAACTCTGAATGATTTGGTGTAGTGCAAAGACTGTGTTTTCATCTGAATGCAAGGGTGAAACATAACTTTTGTGTATTTATAAAATTCTGTTCCTGTGCTCCCTTCAAAATAATAATTGGATGTATATCTACAACTAACTGACAAACAAATAACTGATTGTTTGGTGTTATCCTGATTTTAAAATAGCCACCACAGCCAGCTCATCATAGAAAATATAAAAAGGACTATACCTAAGTAGATTTTACAGATGTTGAGCTAATGTTTGTTGTGGTTGAGTTGTTCACGTCTCTGAATGCTTTGAGGCTCTGCTCACATGACTTCAGAAGGTTTTAAAAGTGAAGAGTCAGCGGAGGCGAAACAATACCACGTCTAGTGTTTCCATGTGAACAAGAAATTTAGAGATCTTTAAAAACAACGACACAACTGCCTATTTTGTGCTTGTTCACTGTCTGTTCGCTTTCTAGAACCCCAAAAGACAATAGAGCTGTTCTCAGTTTTCTTTCATCTGTCATGCTTTATCCTGAACCTGTTACTCAAATTTGAGTGTGTGCTGAAATTGTAAATAACTGAGAGGTAATGGTAACTAGGGCTGGGTATCGATTCAGATTTTCCAAATCCATTCGATTCACAAGGGCCCAATTCGATTCGATTCACGACGATTCACAATGATTCACAATTCAGTTTGATTGATTTTTAAATTAGTGAAGGATAACATGCAGTAACACATTTACTTTGATATAGAAGACATTCTCTAAGGAAATAATTCTGCAAATAGTAGAAACTAATTCTAATTTGGTGCATTGGTAAAATTATAAGTAGTGCTGTACCAAACGATTATTTTCTAATCGATTAATCTAACGATTATTTTTTCGATTAATCGATTATTCATACAACAAATCCATAAGTTATTCTGACATGAGTGCACTGGAAATTTAAAATGTTTTCATCAAATTAAC